AGACAGCATTGAGAAAAGGCACATGGAACGAGTCTGTAGAAAACTAAATGCGAGCTTCCAAGGGTCCTCTCTCTCTGGAGAGGATGTGCTTAATTTTCCCAGCATGAAATTGTGGTAGCACGTGTGAAATGTCTACCAGGGAACCTCTCTAGAGACTTGTTGCCTAGTAGAGTTTTTATTGAAGATTGGTTACCTGTGCTATCTGCCTGGCACATACCAAGATTCTAAACTCCTAGAGGGACAGTAGGTGTTCAGCCATAAACCATATCTTTTGCACAAATAGATGAGGCACAGTGAACTGCTCCTAACAGGGTAGTGGGAACACTTCCAAAATCCAGTTCTCGTATGCCCTCAAAGACCAATCTTCAAAGCATGACTCTCAAGATAGGCACTCTCAGGCCCGCTTTTCTTCACATACATGCACACATGTACATGCAAATGTGCACACACACACACATACACACACACGAATGAGAGATAATTGGAGAGTCAGAAACTCTGCCACCATTATAACTACTATCTTCTCTGCCTGGCACATACCAAGATTCTAAACTCCTAGAGGGACAGTAGGTGTTCAGCCATAAACCATATCTTTTGCACAAATAGATGAGGCACAGTGAACTGCTCCTAACAGGGTAGTGGGAACACTTCCAAAATCCAGTTCTCGTATGCCCTCAAAGACCAATCTTCAAAGCATGACTCTCAAGATAGGCACTCTCAGGCCCGCTTTTCTTCACATACATGCACACATGTACATGCAAATGCACACACACACACACATACACACACACGAATGAGATAATTGGAGAGTCAGAAACTCTGCCACCATTATAACTACTATCTTCTCTGCCTCCCAGTTAAAAAGATTTTAAGTAAGAGAACAATGCCCTTGTATCCAACTGCAGAGATGTTACTCCTGTAGTACTGTGAAGGACGGCTAGTAAGCCACTGGGAATGGAAGTAGGACAAGGACATGAGCCCAGGTGACAGACGATTAGTGTTTGAAATAAAACACTAGATATCAAGAAGGCAGAGGGAGTGGAGTTAAGGGGATACTATATATGTATGTGTGTAAATATGCGTGTATGTGAATATCTGTATGGGCGCACATAAATGCACATACTAGATACTAAAGCCATAAGAACACACGTCTATGTTTTACGTGTGCAGTTCTACAAAGGGAATGCTTTAATAAGCAAAGGAAGAGAGTCATAAGTCTCTAGAAGCAAATTTTTTAAACTTAAATACATAAAGAAATAAAACTTCTGACCCCCCCAAAAAAATATATAAATTAACAAAATTGAAAGCAAATTGAGAAGGTATTTATACCTGTAAGAACAGCAATGTCCTCATTATATACTTAAATAGATAAAACTTCTGACCCCCCCCCAAAAAAATATATATATATAAAAATTAACAAAATTGAAAGCAAATTGAGAAGGTATTTATACCTGTAAGAACAGCAATGTCCTCATTATATTAACAATTGAAAATTAATATTAGAAAAACTTAGCCCAATAGAAAATAGATTAGGTAGATTAGTGGGCAAGTCTCAAAAAAGACAAATGATCATTTAGTATTTTAGTATTTTTCAACCAAGATCTTTTAAAACTGATAAAATACATTTTCCCATAAATTAATAATTTTTAAAAATGATAGTAATCAGGGTACTTGGAAATATCTTTGAATATCCAACATTGTGTTATTTAGATAAACTTAATTTCCATACTTTTGTGTTGTCTAGCTGTTAAAACCATTTAGTAGAAAAGATTAACAGGCCTGCTTATAACAATAAAGCATGAGCTCAGGTTTTCTGTGGATACTTTACACACAGATGTACATACGTACACAGAAAAATACCAAAAAGGTATCTACTTAAAATGTTTACTGGTTTTTCTCTTGGCTGTGAGATAATGGATGATTTTTCTTCTTTTCAGTTTTAAAAACCATTAAAACATATGGCAAATTATGACCATAGGCTGGCCACTTACTTTTTAAAATAGAGCTTCATTAGAACACAGCAGTGGTCATTTATTTACATATTGTCTTAATTACTTTTGCAGTACGGTAGCATAAAATACTTGCTGTCTTTAAGACTAAGTTTGCCCACTCCTCATCTATAGTGAGTGGCATGTTTTTTATATTTAGGAGCAACCTCCCTTCTCCATGAACACATATTCTTACTTAATGTATTGTAAGAAAAAATAGCATTGGTGCTTATAGGCTTGGTTTTTCTTTCCTACAAGCTTCTTGATAGTATTTTTCTTTTCTTCGAAATAGCTAGTATAGACCAAGATAAAGCCTTAATAAGTTGAACTGCTGCTGATACCAAAATGAATTAGTATTTATTTTAAATATAATTTAGTAGATTTAAGCAAAACGTTTTGTTTATCTGAGATCATTAGCTAATTAATGATATTGGAAAGAGGTGATGTGATGGTTTAATAGATATAGAAAGTTTGGAAATAAAATTCTGTTACTATTATCAAAGAGATAAGGGAGGCAGTTGAAGTCAGTGTGGTTACTTATTACTTAGGGCTCTTTTAAAAAAAAAAAGCCTTTAATGTGTAAATGATGGCTGAGCGGTAGGTTCACAGCAACAGTGAACAAGAAAGGGAGGAGCCCGTGATAATAGTGCTCACAGCTACTACATTCCTAGCTCTGTGCAGAAATGCTGTGTAATCCTTAAAATAATCTTGGCAGAACCTGCAGGTGGTGTGGTAGTTAAGGAGCTGGACTCGCACATGGCCAACTATGGTTTGAATCCTGGATCTGGTGGCTTGAGGATCACACCAGGTGTGTGTGCATGTGTGTCCAAAATCCTGGGAGAAGGTATTACAATGTAGCTATGCCCCGCCCCCAGGCGGTGATTTCTGACTTTTCTCTCTAGTGAGCACACGTGCCCTATAACAAAAACTTTTTAAAAAGTTAATAATAATCTTGACAGGCATACAAGAGTGTTTTTTATTTTGTTTTAAATGAGAAAATAGATTTGGAGTATCTAAATAATTTACCTAAGTGATATTCAGTTTGACTGAGCCTCCACCTAAATCCAGGTTTATCTGAGAGGAACATTTGTGGTTATCTTTAGCTTTATTTTTCTGTTATTATTATTATTATTATTATTCTTGTTATTTTTTTGGAGAGGTTTTTGTTATAGGGCATGTGTGCTCACCAGTAAGAGAGAGACAGAAAGTGAGAAATCACCCCCCACAGGGGATGGCCACGCTGCAATCCCTTCTCCTCTGTTCTTCTCTTGGGATCTTGGGCACACATGCACATGTGCCTGGCATGAGTTTAAGCCACCGGGCCTGGGACTTGAACCACGGTCGACTACATTGGAGTCCAGCGACATAGCCATTATGCCAACTGCTGGTCCCACCTTATTTTTTTCTTAATGGGTTGTCATGTAGATCTCAAGAACTTGGAGCAGTATACAGAATTTAGGTTTTAACTTAATTAACAAATGCATTTATAACTTTGTAAGGTTCTATTAGGTAGAGTAGTAATAAGTTCTAAATCATTTTATATTACATTCAGGCAGATTCTGGATGACCACGTTTTAAGGATGTTACAGGTAAATTTTTGCTGTGGCTATCAGGTTGAATCTTGTGAACTTTGAGAATCTACCAGGTCTGGGATTTTATGGTATTTGTTTGTTGTTGTTTTGTTTTTCTGCTTGTGCACTTAATCCAAATTAGATTGTGAGAAGGTCCGTAGCTATGGACCCTTAAAGCACTACAGAAATCATTTATAAAAATTAATGTCCTGCCATATGTTTTGATAAGTTGATATATAACTCTAAAAACATTAATCATAATTTATTAAGAACTCTGTGTCTTTTATGTAATGAAGACTCACAGTGGGTCACTGGGGAAGTCATGATTTATTTTTGCATAGAAAAATGGAAAAATATGTCATGACTTTCCCAATGACCTAATAATATTTTCTTGAATATAATGCAGAGGACAGATTTGCCTATTCAGATGGGTGCACTTTTTCTTTCTTCTTTTAAATAAAAACTATGTAAACCAGTATTCTCTTTGTACTTCAACTATATGAAAATGAAGAGAAAAACTTAATGGATGAGTATAGTGATTATTTTACCATGGGTACCTCATGACAAATACTCCTTATGTTTCTTTAGATAGTATTTGTTTTGTGTTACTCCCAAACTTTTTTTATTGGGGCTAATGCATATTATTTTGAGACCTCTTGGAAGTAAGTAGATTATGAGTTTACAGGGAAAAAGCATGATGTACAGTGTTAATTCTTAGTATGCACAGTAAACAGTATGAATACAAGTTCAAAAGCAGCATTTTTAGAAAACGTAGATACAAATCCAACCAGTTTCTATCCGGGATCTGTTTATTCTTGCATAGCAGAAACTAGAAAGGGAGACTCTTTCCACTGCCCCAGAGATTAGTGCTTAGAGAAAGGCCAACATTGCCCTCAGGCTGATGCTTCTGAAAGACTGGACATAGTCTGTCCCCAGTCTAGTGTGTTACGAAGTCTTCCTTTGTGACTTATTACTATTCTTAAAATCATTCTTCAAGTATTAAATGCCAGTGCATGTAATGCGCAAACAAATATACTCAAAGTATACATTGAAAAAAATACAAATTATTATTCCTTATTCTTTCTCAGTGTCCCCTTATATCTGTTCATGATTGGACTGTGACTAGGCCTTTTACTTGTAGAGGATGTTCTAACCCTGAGGAAATAATGTAGGTAGGTAATATTAATGTGTTGTATTTTTTCTTTAAAACAGGAGATCGGTACTCAGGAAAATCAAATCATGACTAATACTCATTAGCTGACTATTGCTACATTTCAGGGTCATAGACCACTAAATGATACTATGATTGTCATGACTGAAACCTGTTGCTTTCTATAAATCAGAAAAGTCCTAAATCCCATGTGAATAGTATGGTTGACCGTTATTTGTATAGTTTATAATTGCTTACAATTATATAAAAATTATTCTTGTATTTTTATAGTCTATTCGGCACCTGAAGTACTCCTTGTTTAAGAAATCTCTGCTGGGCAGTGTTTCGGATAATGGAATAGTAACTCTCTGGGATGTGAATAGTCAGAGTCCATACCATAACTTTGACAGCACACACAAAGCTCCAGCTTCGGGCATCAGTTTTTCTCCTGTCAATGAATTGCTATTTGTCACCATAGGCTTGGATAAAAGAATCATTCTTTATGACACTTCAAGTAAGAAGTAAGTGTGACATCCTAATTTCTCAATATAGTAATTGATAATATCTCATCAACAGACATACTTGCGATTCGTATACACCTGTGAAATGTCCAGGGGCTCTAACGTTTATATACTTGATGTATTTAGTAAGATGAGATTTTCTTTTCTTCTTCCTTTGTGGAAAGAAGTAGATGAGGCATTGCTATTATTTAGGATACTTCGGATACTTTTGGAACATGGGTGTTATAGGAGAGTATCTTAATTTCACATCTTTAGTGTGGCGTACATATTATTTTTCAAAATATAATTAAATGCATCTATTTATAGAAATGTGAGTAACTTGTTTTAAAATTAATTCACTGTCCAGAGCAAGGTTTCTAAACAGTTAACATTTTGGTTTGGATAGTTCTTTGTCATGAGGCACTGTGCAGTACTTAGCAGCAGCCTTGACCTCTCCTTACTCTGTATACTGGTAGAATTCACCAGTTGCTGACAACTTAAAACTATCACCATACATTGCCAGATATCCCCTAGGGACAAAATTGGCCCCGGTTTGAAAATACTGATCTAGGGTTCATTGACTAACCTAAGCACTTGGGCCCATTGCATTTCTTTTTTTAGTTTATATATATTCTTTGATTGGCTTAAAAACAGAACAGAAGAAAAACTGAACAAAAAGTAACAGTAGGAGTGGACGGTTGTTTGAGATGCCTATCAATATCTAAAGATCGTGTGGAATATTAATGGCACTATCGAGTAGGTGCCCCTGTCAGCAGTTGCTGTGTTGCAAAGTCTTTTACTGTTACTTACTTCACTCTTTTATTTTTCCTTCCTTTATGAGAGAGTGGGAAAGACCGACAGATATAGGTATTTTTAACAGCATCTCGTGTGTCACAGTTCTCCTGCCTTAGCTTTCCAAATAGGAGTACAGGTGTGGACAGCCCTGCCCAGTGTGTTCAGTTTGGCCTGGGAACTGAACCCAGGCTTCCCATGGAACTTGCAACCTCCTACGCAGTGGTGCTGTGTAACACTCGGTCTGGGCCCTTAGCTCTTCTTTTTTGAAGTAATTTACTGAGAGCCCTCAGAAGTAGCGAGACATTCCTCTCTTATATGAGATGAAAGAGAAAAGCATGTGACTGCAGCACATGCGACTCCATAGTTCTCTGTTAACTTCCAGAGGATCATGCGGAACCCTGCTCCTCTTAGCTTTTTGGCTAAGATGCACAGCTAAGAACAAAGTAGCAGCTGCTCCCCTGTGCAAGGTCACAGACCTGAGACCTAAACAGATCAGTAAGTGGAAAGCAGATACTCAGAGCCTCCTCAGCCCCTCAGGCTAGAGTCCTCGTTGGTGGAGTAACACAAAGAAAGTGTGATGCATTCACTGCCCAAATAACAATTATTAAAAAAAAAAAAAAAAAAAAAGTGATACTTCTAGTAGAATGTACCTATTGGAAGTGAATGAAAAATAGAAGGGAATATTCAGCAATTCTTTACATGCCGTTTTATTAGAAATATCTCTGAGTCTTAATACCACAATTCTGCTTTAAACAAGTATTTGAGATGTGTACACCATTCGCCCCATTCAGAGTGATTTTGGTTTTGGTATACAGTTATTTGTGTGCCATGTAAGCCTGCACATCTGTAAATCTAACATTTCTACGTACACTTGGTTCTCCTCTCCAAAGGCTAGTAAAAACGTTAGTGGCTGACACTCCTCTAACTGCAGTAGATTTCATGCCTGATGGAGCCACTTTGGCTATTGGATCTTCCCGTGGGAAAATCTATCAATATGATTTAAGGATGTTGAAATCCCCCGTTAAGACCATCAGTGCCCACAAGACATCTGTGCAATGTATAGCGTTTCAGTACTCGACTGCTCTTACCAAGGTGAGATATTTTCTTTTCAGCATTATTTATTTTAGTAAATAAATTGAGTTCGGAATACGGAAATGATATGTTGTCAATAGCAGTGTAATTTTGCTTCATTATTCTTTACATATGGTCATATTTTAAACAATTTTAGTACAGTCATTTGGTACTTAAGTTTGAAGACTTTTTTATATTGGTCATTGGAAAAGTCATGATGTATTTTTCTGTGTTTTTCTATGCAAAAATGTCATGACTTTTCTGAGTACCCAATAATTTTCGTACACTGCTTACAAAGTATTTTAAAAGCCTTTTTTGATTCAGACACAGACTCTGTTCCTCTAGAACGTGTAAAGTTTATAAAAGAAAAAAAAATTTAATCTGACATGGTATCTATAAAATATTAATGTATGGTGAGAAACATTAGTAACCTGAGCTTTTTAATATTCCACTACATTTCAGTCAAGTTTAAGTAAAGGCTGTTCGAATAAGCCCACAGCAGTGAACAAACGAGCGGTCACCGTGGGCGCTGCCAGTGGAGGAGTTCAGAATTCTGGAGTTGTCAGAGAAGCAGTCGCCACGGTTCTACCACAGCCTCTGACCACGGCGGTGGAGAAGGGGGTCGCTGCTGTTCCAGACAAAGCAGGTACCTGTTCTCCCACGTGGCGTTTGGATGGTTTTGTTCCCTCCCCGAGAACATACAGTCAGCACTTTCTTCAAGAACTTAGGATTCAAAATCACTTTAGTGTTTAGGTAAAACTGTTACTAGATATCACTGAATAAGTAAAAGTGTTACCTTTAGCCGTGAACTTTTAAAAAGTTAGGGACAGGCACTTTATCCTAGTTAGCTGAGCTTCTGTTGTGTGAAATATTATCTTAAAATTGGAATGATGCCAACTCAGAAACTACTTGTCCTTTATATTACTCCAGATCGGATGGCTTTCTATTGGAACTTCAGGAGTAAATAAGAAACTTTGATACAGTCATTATGACTTGATCTCCTCGTTTTTTGTTTTTTCAAAAAAGCTATTAATCTTTGCTTTTATTTCATAATGAAAAGTTAGTAACATGATGAAGTGAATATTTTTAAGTGTTGAATGGCACATATCAGGCACTATGTTGGTAGTTTATTAAATTTTTAAACAGAAAAATTTTATAAGTTTTTTAATGATTTTTTACTCCAATAATCATATTGGTGAAACATTTTAGAATCTGTGGTCCAGTTAGACTTTGTGAAGGCGAAATCTGATGATAAGCTTCCCTGTACTTATTGTAGAAAATATTTTTACCCACAATAATGATCATATTCTACAAATGCTTAAAACCCTTCTTGTTTTTAAGCAATTTTATGAAGTTATGCTGTGCTGTCAATTTGCAACTAATATTTTTGAAAGTCTACATAATATACTGATACGGTTCCAAAATACTAATACTGTACTCACTGGAGTATGTATGTATCCATGTCTTTTAATTTCAGGACAAGTACTTGGGCAAGATTATTTGTTGGTGTCTTCTCAGTATGAATATATTATTTCCAAGTAGAAGAAAAACTCTAATTTATTGACCTAAATGTTTGGAAGAGTTTTTTAAAATAATAAGTATATTCACTTTAAATTTCCTGATTATATTATCCTTATGTGAGTCATTTCCTATAAAAAAAATTAGGTCCTTATTTAAGAACTCCTGCAGATATACCATTGCTACTTATTTAAAAGAACTTCTTTTTCTCATATGATTTTAAGTAATGTCTGCCAATATGCTGAATTTAACTATATTGTGAAAATTGACATTATTCAAAAAAAATTTATAATATATTATTATTAATTTAGTTCATAATTTTCAAAGATTAAACAAAATGAAGATTCTCTTGCAACAAACTCTGAAGTCTCACTGTTACTCATTTATCTTTTAATAAGGAAGCTCTTGTTTAATGATGACAGTATTAATTAGGAAATAAAAACGGGTTTGCTGGGTCACTGATTAATGATAACTCTTGGCAGGTTCCCCAAATTCCTGGCAAGATGAGTATTAGCTCTACCCTCACCATCACTTGGAGAGTTTTTATTTATTATTAATTATATTTTGAAATAATTTCCAACTTGTTCCTAAGTTATTACAATTGTACTAAAAACTCTTGAGCTTTACCCATTAGCAGATCCACTGCTTTACAAATGTAGCCCCACTCATTTCTTCACTCTCTTGCTCTCAGATACACGTACACGTAGGTGCAGACACATTCGTTTCCCTCTGAAACAGTTGAGAGAGGTCAGACTTCAGTCTCAGGCGTGTCGCTTCCCACCCAGGATGGTGTCAGCACTTTCCTTAACCTTACGAGTTTCACTTTTTCCTTCCATGTCCTGAGATAATAGTAACCTTACGAGTTTCACTTTTCCTCCATGTGCTGAGGTAATAGTTAATTTTTAGGGTTATTGTGAAAATCAGAAAATGTATCAGAAGTACCTGACACACAGAGGTCACTCAGTGGGTTGTAGTGTTAGGAATATCATTGTCGTCCTCAGGCTCGTCACCAACACCATCATCACTACTGCTACTATTATTTTAAGGTTTATTTAAACTCATCTAAAGTTTGAGGAAAAGATTAGTTTGCGTCTATTGAGGGTGTCCTGATTGAGTTCATGAAAAAACCTCTGCAGACTTTTGGCTGGTGCTTATTTTTAGCAGGAAAGAGCCATTTAAGAAATAAAAAAAATAGGCCTTTAGCACTAGTTTTTAACCATATCAAACATCTTTTTCCTAAAGTTCCAGAGGGTAAAAGTATGTATTAAAGCATGGAAAGAACCTAGAGAAAAGGAGAGGACTTTTTTATAACAGCTTAACTTTCAGTTAAATACTCTTCAGTGATAGTGATGTACGAGTGATGTGGTTTTATTTTAACTTCCTAGCAGGTGTTATTAGGAAAATTTTGTTCATTAGTCAGACTGGGCGATTTCGAATATCGAAGTCATTCTTTTTATAAGCCCGGGCTTTTCAGTTTTCATTTGGGACCGACATGCCAAATAAGACACATTTTTAAATGTAATACAGTAACATGCTACCAACCTAGATACCAGATGTTCATCACACTTCTTGACTCTCTAGAACTCCGGCCTGTAACCCAGAAGTGAGTACAAGCTGCCGAACCCAGAGTCCTTTTACAGAGCCCCTGCCCTGAAGCTGTGCGTTGTACAGTGCCGGAGCAAAGGCGCTGCTGCAGCCTGTGTATCGTTACCTACTTACATTATTCTCTGAGTTTAGTGTTCTGGCTTCTTTCCTTTCAGTAAGCTACAGAGGTTTGAGAAGTCATTTGAGATCGATACTGCCGAGGGCAATGTTACACTACTACTGTTAGTGAAAGAAAAGACAGAAAAGGAAAAAAAAATGGCCTGCTTACTACAAGTTGGGAAAGGGACCTAACATTAATTAGATTCTGCTCTGTGGTAAGCATCATGCTGCCTTACAGACTTTTAAAAAAAAATAGGATTTGTAGCTGATCACAACGGTAACAGATAACAAAGATTAGTTGTGTTCAGTATATTTCAAGAGAGCAGCAAAGTATATAAATTATTTGTGATAAATTCTATCAGTGTGCTGTATGAACAAATGAAGTATTTGCTTTTGAGGAACTCTTCATCCATGAAAATGTTGGTTAACTTGGCAATTGTCCTACTCTTTCTTTTCCTCATGCTTACAGTGGTACCATTACCAACATGAGTAATGCATTAATGTTTACAACCTAGCTTCTGATAATGAGATTCATTTAGATGTAATAACACTCATTTTTATGCCTAATTCCTACAAGGTTTGCCTCGAAGCATAAGCACAGATATTTTATCCAAAGAAACAGAAAACAGTGGAAAAAATCAGGATTTCTCCAGCTTTGATGATACTGGAAAAAGTAGTTTAAGTGACATGTTCTCACCTATCAGAGATGGTAAGTCCATTCAGATCAGAAGATCATGTACTCTGGCTGGTAGTTTTCACATTTTTATTTGGCACAAAAGATGTCATGGGAACCAGCAGTTAGCGTAATGGCTATGTTGCTGGACTCCCACGTAGTCGACCGCGGTTCACGTCCCGGACCCGGTGGCTTAAAACTCACGCCGGGTGCGTGTGTGTGCGTGCCCAAGATCCCGAGAGGAAAATGGAGGAGAAGGGATTGTGGCATGACCATCCCCCCTGGGGGGTGATTTCTTGCTTTCTGTCTCTATGTCTCTCTCTGTCTATCAGGTGAGCACACGCGCCCTGTAGTGAAAAACCTCTCAAAAAAAAAAAAAAAAAAAAAGAACAAAAAAATAGTTTGGGT